TTGTGGGAGTTTATGTCCCAGAGCAACCCTTTCATATTTTGCCAATATCACTTCATTTTATAATAGCACAGCTGTATAGTAAGTCTTGTAGTTAGCTTGTGTATGGTTTTTTGAATTACTATTTTGTTCTTTGTTTGGCAATTGTAGTTATTTTGCATTTCTGTTATAATAAGATGCTGAAAAATTAAAATATTCGATTAAAAGATAATTAACAAAAGTAGTTACTTAAAAAGATAGTTATTAGCAATAGTCATTCTGTACTGAGCTCATTACCCTAGTAACCAAGCACCAACCACATAGTTATAAATTAACTGACCGCGTCATTCTGTTGTTCTGTAATGCGTCATCCCCCCCACCTTAGTAACCTGTGTGCTGTTAACTTTTGTTCCCCTTATAAGAGCCAAATGATGCTGTGTCAACCAATGTTCGCTTTATGAGAGACAAATGTCCCTGGAATTGGCAGACCAAGGGCTATGAGCTGGCTAACCACCCACTGTGAAATGATCTTACCTCAAGCAAAGGGGAATGAATACCCAGCTTATTTCTGTTTCTCATCACTATGCACTTAATGATCAATGAGCTAATCATAAATGAACTACAAAAATCAGTCAAAACTCTAACTCAGTTGCACAGCTTTGCAAATTCCAACTGCACTGAGTCACTGGGCCAGCTAAAATAAAAGCACTTCTTCCTAAAAACGATGTCGTTCTGCCCCATTTTTCATCTCAGGGGCCTTTTTGGGGAAGTACAACATTTCCATGCAAGTTTAGCATTTTGTTGTTGAAAATTCTGTTTGAGATTACATTAAATCTATTGTTCTAGTTCAGAAAAATTAATATATTATCAATATTAAAATCACCAATACATGACATGAATTTCCAATTAAGTATATCTTCTTGATTTATTTATTCATAACTTTAAATATGTAGTTTTCTTTAATGAGATACTTAACATTTTTTGTACAATTTAATACAAATATTTAATCTTTGAGGGCCATCTCAGTTTGTATTCCTTTTCCCCACAAGTTAGACATTGCAATATTCCATTGCTAATGATATAGGGGAATGAAACTTCTAACCTACTAGATGTCCAGTACCAGTTGGTGTTCTCTAAAATCAAATGATGAATTTTAGGAACAACAGAGGTTAAGAACAAAATATGTTTATTGAGCAAAAGAAATTTCTGTCTGAGAGAGAGAGAGAGAGAGAGAGAGAGAGAGAGAGAGAGAGAGAAGGGATCCCAAGTGTATTGCCAAGGACTCTGTCTTTCCTCTGTCCTAGGGACTTTTTTATAAAGCCACCGTGTGAGACAGGTGCACAACTGGGAAAATTTGGAAATTCACAAGGCAGAAAGGGGACAGAACTGTGCTCAACCAATAAGATTAATTGTTCAGATAAAGCTGAACAAACCTGGGAAAGCAAATCACATAGTAAGCAGGCATTATGAAGGGGGGTGGGGTGGTGGCTCCTGGACTGTCAAAGTGATCCAAACTATTTAGAATATCAGTCCTTGGGGTGTGATTTTGCCTCTGTCTTGAGATCTGGCCCACAGCAGGAGGTGTCTGTATCTTACAAGGTCACAAGACATCTAGTTCTCTGTGTCAGCTTCTTCCTGGGTGTAGACCCCTCTGACTGCCTATAATATTTATAACTCAGCTGCCTATAACACTTTCACAAAAAGATCGATTCTTTTTTACTGTTAACTTTGTATCACATGACCTTACTGCATGCAAGTTTATTAGATCCAGTTTTTGGCACATTTGGCAATTTTTTACATAAATCATATCTGTAAAGCTCAAAGTTTCCCCTTTTTAATAGTTATAATTATCATTTCCTTTTTTATTGCTGTAACTATTTCCTCCAAGGTTCTGTTGGGTATAATTGATGAGAAAGGACATCCACACTTCATTGTCAATGTCAGTGTTAGTCTTTCACCATTAAAGCTATACTAATTGAGAGATTTGAAGTGTAATTTTATCAAGTTGAAGATATTCTCCTCTACTTCTAATTTGCTGACAGTTTTTGACATTACTTTTTATCAAAAGATTTTCTTCATCAGTTCATATAATCAAATGACTTCTATTATCCTTTTGTGAAAATTGATAATAGATTTTTGCATTCCTGGCATAATCCCACTTAGTAATTATTTTATACTTATTTTTTATAATTATAATAATATTTTTATAATGTAATAATTATTGTGTTAAATTCATTATATTTTGTTAAAAATATCTGCATCTGTGTTCTTGATACGAATCTCTAATTTTATTTTCTTGTCATATTTTTTGTCTCTGTGTTTAGTGTTATAAAAAAAATTAGAAAATCTTTTCTCTGCTTCCAGTTTCTGAGAGTCAGAAGAATAATTTTTCCTTGCTTGGTAATTCACAATTAAAATCATTTGGGCTTAGTGCTTTCTCTTTGAAAGTATTATTAATTAAGCACTTTAATAGATTTAGGCATATTCAAATTCTCTTTTTCTACTTGTGTAACTTATAGTGGTTTGCATATTTTATGGATTTTGTCCATTTTATATAAATTAACACAATGATTCATTCTTTTCAGTATCCATGGTTGTTAACTTTTTATCTAAACTGAAAATGTAAAAATTTAAAGCTTATGACATAGGAAAAATATCCAGGTAATATTGTGTTTTACAAACAATTCTTAAATTTAACATCAAAAACCTAACACAGCAAAGAAAATTGGTAACTTGTACATTGTTAAAAACTGAAAACTCTATAAAAGACACTGCAAAGAACATGAAAAGAAAAAAGACATACTGTTAAAACTTTTGCACAATACATAAAGGAATGAAGCATTAATATAAATAATTTGCTACTGAAATATGTATTCTTGATGAGAAGTATATTTTCTGCCCCATATTAGGAATGCACATTCTGTATCTGTAGTATGAACTATTTTAAAAATATCAAATACACCAAAGTGCTTTTTATGTCAACTATAAGCTTGCTGCTTTTTTATTTTTTGTTATTACTATTTTTCTGACTTTTAAGAATACATATTTACCATACATAATGATTTCATTCATTGCAAGGAATTGGCACATTAACATAACATATTTCTATTTTTCCCCTTCTCTCTACTTCCTTAGGTATGCTGGCTAGCAAACAGGAAAGCCCGAAGATCGTGAAATTAATCTGATACTTTTTTTTTTTCTCTCTGTAAATTTACTAGTTGGCTAAAAAGTATTGTAGAATTTTTACTATTAGTGAATTATCTATTTCTCCTTTCAGTTCTCTCATTTGCTTTGTATATTTTTTACATTTTTAAGTACATATATTCTCAGGGTTTTTATGCTTTCATGGAGAGCTTATTTCTTTTTAATTGTATAATATTGCTCTTTACCCTTAGTAACTGGCCTTATGCTGTCTGCTGCTTCTGAGATTAATATAACTGCTCAAACTTCCTGAAGTGTTAGCAAGACCTATCTTCATCTCAGATTTCATCATCTATAACAACAGTGACTTTCTATTTAAAGTGTAGCTATACAAATAACATAATAGAGAAAATAGAATATGATAATCCTTGTCCTTAATTTTAGACAGTGATTAAAAGAATAAACCAGTGATGGAGCACTGTCACTATGTGTGCAACTGTTTTCTTTGTTGCATTTGTTTCTTTCTAATCCTACATTTTCCTGTCTTTTGAGACCTTCATAAATCATTTTGATATAGGGAAATGAAACTCCCAAACTACTATGTCCAGTAGGAGTTCGTGCTCTTTAAAATCAAAGAATGAATTTTAGGAGCAACAGAGGTTAAGAGCAGAAAGGCATGAGTAGAAGGAAATGTATATAATTGTCTAGATGTATTTATTATTATTTATAATTACCATAAATGTATGGACCTTAGAAAAATTTTAAAATTTAGTTCAGAGGTTTTTAATTTAATTTAAAAATTTTAATTTATTTTATGTTGCTTACTGGAGAAATATTTGGATCATTGACTTATTTGTAAATTTATAGTTTACTTTATTAAAGTGAATTAGAAATAAATATGGATTCTTATGGATTTGAGATGAAATAATAACATCTATCATTGTTTTAATTATTTGAGTTCCTGTTTCTCAAGAATCCATAGAAATGTATGCCAAAAGTAAACACTGTGTATTTTTGCATATATTTGAGGAAAGATTATGTAAAGCATGTAGTAAGTTGATATGAGAGAGTTCTTTGTTACTTAACAATGATAACAATTACAAATATTCAATTAAGGTTTGTAAACAGATCTCAAATGAAAGAGTTCCTATCACATAGTTTAACTATAAAGAAAAAATACTTTGATGCTGGGGCTCCTTTTATCGAACTGCACATCTGAGACAATAGTGATGATAATAATGGTGATTATAGCTAGCTTTTGCTAAACCTTCCTATCAGGCAAGTGCCAGGCTCTGTACCTACATTATCCCAGGTGATGCTTGCAGAAATCCCAAGATGAAGAGATTATTCAGTTCTTCATTTTACAAGTAGAAATCTAAGACAAAATTGTTCACTTTCTATCTCTCAGCAGTAGACAGAGCCAGGATTCTATAGTCCCAAGCGAGATCAGAGTCAGTAGGTAAGCACTTAAGAAACAAATTTTCTTCTTTTGATTTCTTTGAAAATTACTTTAGATAATTGTTTTTTTCCTCCTGAATTTTAAAATAATAAGAAAAATCCACTGTTAAATGAATTACACATTTTTAATATTTTCTTATGTCATTTAAAATAAATTTAAATTAAAAAAAATAAATTAAGCTGTTCTGTTATTCAGTTCTAACATTAACTCTGAGATTTTCTTCTCTGAGGAACTCAAAAAAATTTGTAAATTTGGGCTTAATTTGTTCATTGCCCAATTAAACCTAATGCTATCATGTATTAAAGTAACTAACAGACTAATTGAGATGAATTGGATCATAATATTGAAGACAGCAGCTAATCATTTATATTTCAGTAGGAGACAAAAGAAGGCATCAGAAGGAAACATTTTTCAGAAAACTTCAGAAGGAAACATTTCAGAACACTGTCCCCTATTACCACAAATTATGCAGTCGAGTTTCCTGTATTTGGGGAAATCACAGGGATCAGCATCTCCGGACTGCAATGGGTAGAGCCTTCCGTTGGGAAACCACCTCCGCCCTGGTCATGGTGTCTCCCCTGTTAGATAAGCATTATGTACTTTCTTAAGCTTTTTAAAAATTTCATTAATTTAAGGTTTCTAATAAAAATTCTAACCACCACTTCAAAAATCATCTGCAAACTGGTACCAGTTTCACTTATTGTCACAAAAGCGCGTGGTTGTTAATGAAAATGACTCCATTGGAGCCGTATGACTCATTCTTGGGTGCTGTGCTTTACCTCCTGAGAAAAATGAAGAAGTTGCAGAGCAATCCTCTCTCTTGTTTCCTCATCAATTACTGGGTTCTGAATACTCTACAGTAAAAAAAAAAAAAAAAAGAGATAAAATAAAATGACTAGTGAATCTCTTCCTTAACAGTCACATACACTCAGGCAAGTCTGTGCACACTTCTGTTAAGAACGTGTCAGCACAGATGTATGAATGGATGAGTTTACATATTCCTCAGGGTAGGAAGTTCATCTTTCAGACAGTTCCAGCTAATATATGGTCTATTTTGGAAAACATCCCATGTGCATCTGAACATAATGTATATTCTGATGTTTTGGGGTACAACACTCAGTAGACATCTACCAAGTCCAGTTTTTCACAGTCCTGACTTAATTCTAATATTTCTATGCTAATGTTTTTTTCTAGTTATGAGAATGGGATATTAAAGTCCTCCACTACAGTTGTGTTACTGCTGATTTGGTTTTTTTATGTCTGTTAATATTTGTTTTACATGGTTCAGTTAACCTTTTTTTGGCACATAAACATTTATGATTTTTATCTTTTTCTTCTTGGAGTTATCCCTTAAGAAGGTAGTGACTTTCTTTGTCTCTTTTGATCAGTGTTGACTTAAACCTTGTATTGTCTTTTAATAGAACAGTTACTCTTGCTTTGGTCTGGGTATCTATGGCATGGAGAATTGTTTTCAATCCTTTGAATTTCAGTCTATTAATTACTTTTTGGGTTAAATGTTTTTAAATGCAGCATATTGTTGGATCTTTCTTCTTAATCCATTCAGCCAGTCTATTTCTTTTGGTTGGTGAGCTGAAATCATTTATGTAGAGGTTACAGCTGATGAGTATTGATTTTTCTTTTTCATGTTGTCTGTTCCGTCTTTCTCTTATGTTTAATTACTTCCCTTGCTGGGTGACTACTTTCTATTGGTGTTCAAGTCTTTGTGGCCTTCATTGTCTCTTTTTATTTGGTATTTCAGAGTGTTCTGAGAGCTGCTTTGGTGGTCATATATTTCCTCAGTTGTTCTTTATCATGAAAGTATCTTGTTTCTCTGTCAATTTTGAAACATAGTTTTGTGGGATTTGTCACTTTGGCTTGAAGCTTTTTTTTTTTTTTAAAGGCTTGAAACATCTCACTCCAAACTCTCCTTGATTTGAGAGTTTGTGTTCGGAAGTCTCCTCTGACTTTGATTGGCTTTCCTTTATAGGTGATGCTTCTTTTCTCTAGCTGCTTTCATTAATTTGTTGTTGCACTGAATTTCTGAAATCTTGATTATGCCCTAGTGTAGATTTATTTTGGTCATGGATATTTGGAGTTCTATATGCATCATTTATTTATATTTCATGTTTTTTATTCATGTTTGGGAAGTTTTCTGTCTTTGTTTCTGTGAAAAGATTTTCTGTGGTTTTTGCACCTGTTATGGTTTGATAACTAGTGGTCAACTTAACGCCAGCTGGATTACATCAGCATGCATTGAGAGAAGATGCTCCACCTGAGGAGGGTTGCCAGGATAAATAGGTGGAGAAGAAGAGCTGTGTGGAGAGGGATTGAGGCGTTATGGAGGCATTGTTGGTTCTCCTACAAGTTGCTGTCTGAGCTGTTGGTTCTCCTGGAGAAGCTTGGGTCTTCACATCAAGCATTGCTTCCTGGCTCTGGAGGGGAAGACATGTGCTGCCTGGTCTCCAGGGTGAACTCCTCACGCTGTTTCCTGGCACGTTCCCGACTGTGCTTGTTGTCAGAGGAGCACGGGGCCTCCGTGTCGCTGAGGACAGCTGTGGTTCCTTTCAGGACAGCCCCGCTCTTTGTTGTGAGTGTGACTTCTCAGCTCCAGTGTAGAACCCTCATCCCACTAGCACAGCTCCTTCATCCTGCTGGCATGGACTTTCTGGCTTCCACCGCTGACCCTTGGGTCTTCCCGGCATGAATCCGTAAAAGAGACTGGCGTGATTCCTTCTTGTGGGCTCTGGACTTCCAGTTGGACTCGTGGAGGCATTGTCCTGAGCTCTGGGTTTTTATCTGGACTCATGTGGGACATTGCCATGGGGTGTAAACTCTTGACTAAATAATCTATGTCGTTGGTGTTGCGGATGGATTTCCTGCATTCTCCTGTGTTAACTTCCAGTGACCATTATAAAAATATTATAAACTCCATGTCCTGATCTGAATTGTTCTCTGTGTATAACCCCGGACTACAACAGCACCGTTTCCAACTTTCTCACTGATTTCAATCTTATGTTGTTCTTCTTTGCTGCATCCTGCAGTGTCAGTGTCGCTCCCGGCCTGCAGGAAGAACACGCGACAGATTCTGACGGTGTGCAATCTTGCCTTTATTTGTCTCCGCGTGGGCCCCGCGAGGCCTCCGCTCTGCCACCAGCCCTTTCTCGCCAGTGGACTTTCTCTATCTCTCTCTGTGCTTCTCTCTCGTGGCGGGAGAGGCATTCACTTTTATAGGGTAACAGTGGCCAATCAGTTCAAAGCGCGCGATGCGGGCTGACTGGCTAACATCAGTTGTTGCTAGGCAGACTATCTTACAGAGCGGGTTGTTTAAGTCGCCAGGGCAATCAGGGGGCAGGAAGCAGGCGCCAACTTGGCTCACTCGATGGGAGGGGTAACTTAGCTCAGGCTTTGCTCTTTTCTACAGGCCTCACGTCCGCCAAGTAAAGCGACCGGTGTCGGCCGCGGCTCCCAACACTGCAGCTGTTGGATTCATTTTTCATGGTCTCAGGAGTTTTAAGGTATCTGTGTTTTCCTAGTTGCTAGATTCACTCCTCTCTTCTATCTATGGTGTTCTATGCTTTCCTTCATTCAGTATGCTTTCATTTCATTTTAACTATTTGTATTTCTGTGTTTGATCAGTTTCATTGATTCCATTTCTTATCTATATTTGTCATTCTTGATTTCCACCTTCTTTTGAACTCCTCTATTTGTTATTTTGTGTTGGATTTAATACTTTTCATTTTGATAGTCAATTCCTTTGCACCTTAAAGATTGTTTTTTTTATGAACTGTTACTTGTTTTTTCACTTCTACTGCTATCATTTCAGAGAATTCCATTTGTTGGCTTCAAATTCCCTCTATCTCTTTGTGCTCTGAACTCGTGCTGAGATTACATTTTGCTTCTTTGTCTTGTAATTTTCTATTATTTTGTTTTCTATGTTGATACTTTAAATTTCCTGTGTTAGATAGCCTTACAACTGGTATTGAGGCTTTCTTAGGAGGTATCTGTTCCTCCAGTTGTCTTTATGATATAGGTGATTCTTGATCTTTATGTCTATCCCAAGAACCTATCTTCCCAATATATTAAGACTAAAGAATTGCTCTCTGTTTAACTTAGTTTGGTACTACACTATGTTGGTGACTATGATCCCTCACAATCTCAATGTTGTCGAATAGTGAGAAAAAGCTGGTAATAATGTCTTTGACATCCTAGTTAAATGTTTAGTTGTCAATAACAATAGATTCAAGGATAGCCTGGCTACTGACAAACTGTGGTAACTCTTAGCCTGATATTTATAATCATATGGAAAAGTCTACAGAAATATAAAATTATCCAACATGTATGCAATTATTTTACACTTAGTAGAATGATTTTGCTTGTTGTGGAGAGAGGAGTTCAATAGGATAGAGGGTAGGATGGAAATGTGATTAAACATGGTAGCAGCAAGGTTCCAACAGGATGGTCATCCAGGTTTTCATAACTGTAGCACACAGGAGGAAAGGATTAAGAGAGAAGGCCCAGGAGTTTTGAAGTGAACCAGGAAGAAAGGTACCAATGTTTACTTACATGCAAGTATCATAAAGTCAAGCAAGATAGTTGGTAAAATAGATGAAAACTATGAGAAGAATAAAAAGAAATAGAGATCAGTTGTTGGTTCATATTGCTACGTCATGAGATATTTCCATGCCTCTAGTTCCACTTGTCCATTGTGTGCATCTTAGCCATGGTTCTGCTTTGTCACTGATATTCCACAGTCTCCAGCAGTGGAGGGAGTGTGGGTGGATCTCAGGTTTCGTTGCCCAGCTGCACCATGCCAGGTCAGTGGAGGAAGAGAAGAGCCAAACTCATACTCTGCCAGCCACAACCATCCTGGATTAGTGGAAAAAGGTAACAGCCTTTCTCAGACTCTTCTACAGAGGAAGGGAGCGGCCCATCTCACATTCCTCTAGTAGACTGCACTGTCCCAGGTAGGTGGAGGAAGGGAAGAGCAAGAGCTACACTCCTTTTCTGGGCCATGCTATTCTAGGGCCTAATAACATAATTTTTAAAGCCAGATACCTTGGATGTTATCTCTCACTCTCCTTACAGAGTATTAAATGGAAGAGCACAAATAGTTTATCATGTTATATTGGCCAAAAGTTTTAAGGCTCAATGTGGTACAACTTAACTAACTTTAAGATCCTGAAAGTTTATTCTCTTCTTTTCAGGAATTTCCAGTCTTCTCCTGTGATTTATATTAGACATTGAATGACTTCTTTCTCTGGAGAAACTAACTCTGACAGTTGGGCACCGTTAGTAATGCACTGGATACATTAGTGTGTGTTATAATACTGTGGCCATCTTATGGTATGATTTAGGTGTATCCTAATTTAAAAATTCTAGGATATCAATTATTTGACATCTTCACAAATCAATGTAAAAGGGGCTATGATCAAAAAATTACATTCTGTAAAATTCAATATCGAGTATGTATGTGAAGAAGGGTAATATATATTAGATTTATGTCATTTTAAAACATAGCATTAGGAAGTCCAACAAGATATGAGTTTCTATGGGTCTTAATCACAAATCAAGAATTTGAGTGGCTGGAGATTTAGCTCAGCAGCGTAAGTGCCTGACTGACATGTGCAAGGTCATGAGTTTGATCCCCAGTTTTAAAAAAAAAAATATGGAGAAGAATTTGTTCCTAAGAAATTTCTATTTGAACAATATTACATATTGTAACAAAGTATTATTGTCCCCTAAAAGGTTGCTGAAAATACATAAACTCATCAATAGACACTTTGTGTTAACAAGGTGCTAATATGACTCATATATTAACATCAGAGAAATATTAAACTAGAAAAATATATAATTCGCTGTATTTTCACTTGTAATAAATTATCTAATTGACCGGGATCTTTTATCATGGTTGTTGGATTTACTGGATTAAGGAATACTTAGCAAGCTCCTAGGTCTGTATGTGGAGCATTTCCAGAGATGACTGTCACGTGGCCAGCAAAAAGAAAAGGGAAGACCCTCCCTAAGTAGGGGACAGCATCCAATATGCTCTCAGCAGAATGCAAATAAAAAAGGAAAATGGAAGAAGTCAGGCTGCATTTTAAAAGCTGCATTCTGTGTGACCTAGTGCATCTGTTACTCCTGCTGTCACATGTGGCCATCAGACTCCAGTTTCTTTGGCTTTTTGTCTTGTATTCACACCAGTGGTGCTTCAAGGAGATTCCAGTCCTGGTGCTGCGTCCGTTTCCCACTGTGGCTTCTAGTTTCTTAAACTGTGAAGGATCTTCTTTCTCTCCAGAGTGACATGTGCATTGTGGATTATTCTAACTCTGAGTGTGGAAGCCTGCTTATGTATCTTTTTGTTAACTTTATAGTTTTTGATGTTGATAGTCTTCCTCTAGAGAACCCTAACCAATGCCTAACATGATGTATAGGATTCATTTAGGGAGTTTGACTGTCTCAAGATCAGAGAGACTTATTAAAGCCATATTATTACCTGTGCTACCCTGTACTTTTGGATGCCATATTCAATTTAGCAGTTGTATATTATTTTTCTGTGAAGTTCTGGCTTCCCCTCAAACTCCTTGCATTTATGTTCATTATTCTTTTTATGAATAAACACTACATCCTAAAGTTTTTCTGGAATCTGTATTTCCTTTTCTAACTGAGCATCTATTTCTGTACAAAGATCTTTTGCCATGATCTCTGACACAAAAGTCCAACTACATGTGAAAATTTCTCCATTGATTGCATTTCTAATTCCTTTATCCATTTCTTTGAAGCTTTAAAGCTATTTCATTCTCTAAAATGGTACTTAAAAGTTTTTCTACCTTGCTTAATATGAGCCTCTTGTTACTGTACTGCTCTAAGAACTGTACTTCGAATGCTTACCATAAACTCCCAGGATTCTTTCCAAAACACTACACTTACTCTGCCAGACTGCTTCCATTTAATAGACCCTTATACATATATTTTTCACGACATGGATCATACTCATTCATTAAGTGCCTACCAGTACGTTTGCACTACAATCCTCTTTAAATATCTGCTAGTTCACTTCCATGATTGTTCCTTTTTTTTTTGACTCAATTTACATTGTGACTTTTTTTTTTTTTTTTTTTTGGTACCAAGGATCAATCTCATGACCTCACGCTTATGCCCCTAAGCTATAGCCCCAGACCTACATTGTGACTTGATCCTAGCTTTTGACTTGGCAGTTGAGAATATAGTTGGTTTTAGGTACAGAACACAGCATGATCCCCAGTATAAAACACAGTTCCCCAGTGCTGCTGCTTCAGGATGGAATCTTTGTATAATCTTCAAAAGATAGAATCACAGTTTACAAAGAGATGTGGACCAGTCCCATAGACCAGGGATACTCAGGTAAATAAGGAGCTTAGAGATCTTCTTAGAATCTCAACCAAAATGTTCCGATGCAGAGGGAAGTTCCTTCAACTCCTTCACATTTAGTTTAGATAACTTGTGAAAGTTGTGGCTCCAAGCATTTCTGAACCCTCACCATTTTTCTGATCCTGGCTGTAGACAAGAATTGTTTTCTGTACCCTTAGGAGACCCAGTTACTGTCCTGTTAAATCAATCACTAATTTACCCTCAAATTTTTATGTCTTCCTCTAGAGTGCTGATGAGCTACAGAAAGAGCCATCTGAGTAGAAATGTTTGGCTAACATCATCCAGGGTCCACCCGCCACAGAAATGGTGGCCTCATTGCCAACTCATCAGCAGGCAATCCACTGCAAAAATCCCACTTTAGAAACTGCTTCCTATTACCAAAATGAAGAAGTTTTGCATAAAGTAAATTAATTGTAGGGAGCTTTTAGGAACAATCTATACTACAACAATATGAAAGAGAAATGAGCAGAGAAAAAAAAATGAATTGTCAATATGGGATGACCCTACTGAGTTGTCTTCTTTTTTCATTTTGTTTTAAACAGAAAGGAGGGAACCATATTTTGTACACTTATATTAAACAAGGAGTAGTTGCCAAAGGAAAAGGATGGAAGAGTGGATGAAGCAACTCTGGTCAGTTGAAACACCTGGGAATGGTGCCACCTGTCAGCCCTGACTGTTAGCCATCATATTTTCTGACTGTGGTCCTGGAGAAAAAGTGAGGTGTTTGCCGAATTATGGCTTTGCCTTGTTTCATTTCAATCATTAATAAAGAGAGATTGCAATAAAAATATTAACAAAAGAAACATTGAATAATGCTTAAAATTAGACAATTAGGGTTAGTCAAATCCTTTAATCATTTTCAACCATTTTGAATGGTAAAATCTGTCTTTCAAAGAAAACCTAACGTGAAGTAGGCAATCACAGTATTCATATTTTTTTTCAAATTGCTCCTTGGGAAACATTTTGATTGTCTTACCTCTGTCCCCTTGTTGGGGTTATTCAGTCAGCATTCTGCCACCCTGGGATAATTTGAATCAACCTGAAAAAATTTAAATACTTTAAGAAAATCGGTATGCATCAAATGTAAAACTTGATAACAGGCTTGTTTTTCCAAAGCATGTGGAGAGCTTGACCTTAAAAAAATATAATACTATTTATGCTGATCCACTTGGATGAAATAAGACAGAAATGCCCATACCAATGTTATTGTTTTACAGAGAGGTGCACTTAAGGCTAAAGTGTGTGATAAATATAGCAAGACTTATTTTGCTTTGGGTGTTATTAGCATCTTATTAGTAAGACATCTAGAAATAGCACTGAAAATACCCATTCATTTTCTACAGAGTAACCTCAGTCATGAGAAGTTCACATTGACACATACACATACACGTACATGGTGTAACTCTAAGAAAAGAAAAATTCATTGTACTTTCCCAGCAATGATCTCCCTGGCATTTTGTCATTTGAAAGCAGTTCTGTCTTTTGGAATTCCAAAAATAAACCAAGCACCTTCCTATACTATGCTTCTTTAAGTAAGGTTAAATTTTCTTTCCATGAGTTTTAGGGTTCCAAATCTTGTGTTTCAATCTTTCATCTTATATGAGTGATTCTTATGCATATTATAAAATACATTGTTAATTTCATTTATTTTTCACTTTGTCATTTATTGAAAAGAGGAATTTTTCTCCATTTCATGCAGTTGATGTACTCATTGAAAATTAGTTGATTGTGTATTTGGATTTATTTGGGGGTTCTTTGTTCTATTGCACTGTTTTATAACACTTGAGAAAAAATACAGTGAGGTTAAATACTTTAAAAAGTATTACATTGAAAACATACTGACTTTAATTCTCCTCAAAATATTCCCCCCTTCACTTCAAAAACTTCATTTTGTTCTTGAAATTCTCTGAAACAGTTCGGAAGTTTTTTTTTTGTTTTGTTTTGTTTTTGTTTTTGTTTTTGTTTTTCATAAGTGCTTTTATGAGACGTGATCAAATATAGAGTGACTGCTGCTGCCAACAGCCATTCAAGGAAAGGCAGGCTGTAGAAACCTTGTGGTGTGTCATAATACACCCTTCACCAGAGCGGATGCCACTCAGTTTCTGGCTCTTCCTCAAAAGCAAAATGACTATGAAAGGTGAAGATTTGAATGTTACCCGTGTATCAAGTTCCCACAAAAATGCATCTAGACACACAACAAAGGACTTCTAGACCTGTTAGAGAAAATAGAGAACTGATGGTATAAGTTCTTTCAAAGAAAATGGGGAATATTTTGTGGGAAGTTAATGATCTTTCACTGCACTACTTAACTATATATATATATATATATATATATATATATATATATATATATATTGTATTTTTCAATAACAACTCTTGCATTCCAATTTTCATACTAATACCATCCTGGTTTGATTACTATACATGTGAAATTTACTTGGAAATGATCCAATTTTGTGTTTTGTGATCCAATTTTTTTTTCTCAGAATTCGCTATTTGAAATATATTTTGGTTCTATGTGAATATATGGACCTGAAGCATCAGACTCCAAGAGATCTCTTTAAGTCTTTTTATGCTGCTGTAGCACAACATCTGAGACTGACTAATATATTAAAAATAGTTATTTTCTCAAAGTGCTGGAGTCTGGGAAATCCAGCATAAAGGTACTGATAACTACTGAGGTCCTTCTTCCCGTGTCTTCACTCAGTGAAAGAGAGGCAGTTGAGACACTAAACTCATCCCTTTAAATCCTCAGGATGGTGGCATAAATACATTCATAAGGATGCATTCCACTTGATCTGATTGCTTCCTGAAAGGCCACCTCTACCAATACTGCTGCTTTGAGGAATAAATTTCCCATGCATAAATCAGGTTGCATGTTTGGATCACAGCAACAACACTGGGGAAAATCTTTTGGACACTGAGCTTGGCAGTGAATTCTTTTATACTACAGCAAGATCTGAGTACCAAAAAATGGATAAATTGAACCACAAACTAAACAGCATCTGCATACTAAAGAATCAAAATGTAATGTGACCTATTGGATAAGAAAAAAATAAAAAATCATTTGATTTTTTTTTGTATCATGAGGGGATTAACATTCAAAGTTTTTTTTTTTTTTAAAATCATACAACTCAAGAATGGAAAAACAACTTGATTTAAAATGGACATATAACATAAATAAACATTTTTGCTTTATTTTGTATTAGGCATTTGATAATGTGATAATAGGCATTTGTAAATGTGTTCACCATCAATCATCAAAGAAATGCAACTCAATAGCACTCTAAAGCTGAGGCAGGAGAATTTTTGCAAGTTGAGGCCAGTCTGGGCTTCCAATGAGTTAAAAACCAGCTTGAACTACATAGCAATATCGGGTTTCGAATAGACAGAAAGAGGAGAGAAAGAAAGAAAGAAAGAAAGAAAGAAAGAAAGAAAGAAAGAAGAAAAAAGAAAGAAAGAGAAAGAAACAAAGGAAGGAAGGAAGAAAGATTGAAAGAAAGAAAGAAAGAAAGAAAGAAAGAAAGAAAGACAGACAGAAAGAAAGAAAGAAATAAATAAAAAGAGAGGAAAGAAGAAAGAAAAGTTAAAATAATTGTGAAATATCAACTCATACGTGGATAGGAGTACTGCTTTTAGAAAACCAAGAAATAACAAATACCAATGAGAGTATGAGAGTGTGGAGATTAGAGACCCCCATTCACTGTGGTGGGAAAATAAATTGGTGCAGTCATTAGGGAAAAAAAAAATTCAGGAGACTCCTAAGGAAGTTACAATGTACCTACCACATTACCAAGCATCCTACCTGGTAAACGTCAAAAGAAAGAAAATCCGAAACTTGTAGAGATACTAACTGTCCTTCATTTATTGCAGAATTATTCTAAATAGTCATTATAGATGTAAACTAAGAGGTTTTGTTTGTGTTTGTCTGTTTTGTACCAGGGATTGAGCTCACTACCTCACAGTGGTGCTTATACAGCTAAGCCAAATATACAGCCCAAACTAAATGTTCTTTAAAGAACCACTTAACAGTGGTACATATAAACTGTGGAAGATCTTTCAGCTTCACTAAAAGAATCTTGCCTTCTGAAATATAAGTGATCCTGGAGAACATTTTTTTCTAAATGAAATAAACCAGTGACAGAAAGGAAACTTATACATGTTCTCACTCATTTCTCAAATCTAAAAAAATAAAGTCTCAAAT